GGTGGGCTGAATTTTATTGTCTTTTATTGCTATCCTAGGATTAAAAGCTGATTAAAAATTAAATCATGATATAATATTCCCAGGCTGAAATGTTTCAAGGCTATTTGTATGCTCCATTGCTTTTACAAAACGGCTTTGCACAAAGAAAACTCAACATGCCAGGGAAAAGCATTTATTTCAGCCTTCAGATACTTAATTTTTTTTATACAGCGCACCCAAATAAGGAATGTCTCAGTAGCAGCTTAGTAGATCCGGTATAGTGCCAGAAAACTGAAAAGCTCTGCTCTTTTGGCTTGATGAAAGCAGAAGGTCGGCCATTTAATATTGGATGGATAGTCCAGGACATCTTAAATCTCTTCCTCCACCTCATTCATTTTAGCACCTTTGGAGGGCAGACTGGGCCCATAGAGATGTTGTTGGACTACTTCCTAGACTGCTAGCCACGTTAGCTGAGGTGGATGGAAGTTGGAGCCCAAGAGCATTAAGAAGACCAATTTCTGACACCGATGCTGAGGAAAACTTCAGGTCATAGGCCAAGACTTTAATTTAATTGTGCCATGACGTACCTCCAGATTTGAAGATGAAAAGTGAAGATGCTGACTCAAAGGAAGCAACCAGTATATTTTCCACTACTCATAATCACCAGGGAAGGCTAGGGCCTTTCTCTCATTGCTGGTATTGTTTAACCTCTAATTATGTCAGAAGATACTGTGTATTTACTATGGAAACGATGCCATTCCCTTTGTATTAGAGACGATATGGAAACAGAATTAAAATCAGGAAACATGAGTTTGTTGCAGTTTATTTCTAATCCATTTTCTAGAGGGTGCTAAAAATGTCTACAATAACCTCACAGAATAGGTTGGGTTGAAAAATTGTAAACAGGCCTAAAATCTAGAGCATTTCATAGCTGAGTGTAAGCTTGCATTTAGAATCTCCTGAGGCTGAGTTGAATGCTATAGTCAGGCAGCAAGTAATTAGTCATGAAAAATTATACTCAAGGAAGGGAATAGCTCAGTGGGTTTAGGGTCAGGAATGTTGGCTTACAGTGAGAACCAAGGGTTGCTTAGAATATCCTACCTCCAGTACAGTGGCCTTGGGAACTACCAGCAGCATGTCCGTTCCTCCTCCGTCATCGCTGGCCTCCTCTAGAGTGACGAGCTCATCCATGGGACGGGGTTCGCTGAACTGGAAAGGAGAACTTTGGCCACGCATCTCCCCATGGCGATCCACATAACGAAAGTGATATTGCTGTGGACCTGGCTTAGGCAAGTAGCTGGCTGTGAAAGGACAAATGTGTTGACTGTATTACTTTTTTGATTTCTGAGTATGAGGCTTTATTTATTGCTTGATTCCTAATGAGTCACAGATAAAAGGAAAACCAGAGGTAGGAAATTGGGATCTCAGGTTTGATTAACATTCTCTTAATTTTTAACAAACGGTTAGGATCTTTTTGCTTTGCTTTTAGAACAAATTGGCATTTTAGTTTTGCTCCCAGTTTCACTGCACTGAATGGAATTGATCTGAGCAGTCTGGACTATTTTATTGTTTCCCATGAACTTTTTTCCCTAAGATGTTTTGAAAGGGCAGGATAGATTGCTGAAATTAAGTCCAATAAGACCAGTTTTCCTGCTGATCTACTTTATCTTGTGGCACCATTTTGCTTGGGCAGGAAGTCGTTCAAGTGTTACTTAAAACATTTAGCCGTGTGTGCTTTGATGAATCTGCTCAGAATCACTTGAAACATAGCTACCTTGGAACTGGACACTGCAATGAAAGGTTCCTTCAGAAGCTCCACCATCTGGCATTATGCCCCACACAAAGGTATAATAGTCACGTACTGAAGAAGCATCCACCTGAGGCAAGGAATGGGAAGGCAGCATTAGAAGATGTAGTACTTGTGTAACTCTCCCTGAAGGTCCATTGCAAACCCAACAATTTTGGATGGAACCACCTTTGAGTGTGAGAGGAATTTTTAATGCTGCTCTTTGCACAAAATTCCTATCCTACCTAACGTTTGTTAATTTTAATTATCTAATGTTTTAATGTTTTATATTGCTGACAGTCACCCAATTGCTTGATAATGAAAATGGGTAGCATATATATTTAATAAATAAATTAAATTCCTTATGAATCACAAAGACAACGGCAATCAGAAAACTGAAAATGCAAAGTTCTAGCTAAGCTGTGCTGTCTTTCTACTTGCAGGGTATTTTCGTTCTATGCAGAAGAACATACATCTTCTTAATGGAAGGAAGATGTATTCCCCTAATAAACATGAAGGGCCTAACTGGATGGCCTCACCAATCAGCTTTGGCTGGCTTTGGAAAGCTACACAGGTTTAGATTTTGCTTGGTACTTGGATGAGAGACCATCAAAAAACCTTGCATGTGGGCTTTTCCTACTTTAATACTGTTGTTGAGAAAAAGATACGTCCATCCCCTGATGCTACAAGAAGCGAAGCTGGATTTGAATGAGACTTCAGCTTTTTACTGTACAGTTCTCAAGTGCTGTCAGAACTGCAAATAGTAAAAATAACATGTAACAAAATGCGTGGTGTTCATATATACTAGATCAGGAGTCCCCAACCCCCAGTCCGTGGACCAGTACTGGGCCGCGGCATGCCAGCAACCAGTCCGTACAAGCTAGCAAAGTCCCATCCGCAGGATGCAGGCAGCACACAAAACCACGCCCCTTCCGGTCCCCGGAAAAACCTCTCTCCACGGAATCGGTCCCTGGAGCCCAAAAGGTTCGGGACCTCTGTACTAGATTACAATTTCTCCAAAACTCCTGAATGTGACCCTATGCATTCAAACATAACCATCCCACTTGTCCCCAGTTGAAGTACCTTAAAGATCCCAATCCAATCTCTGGTCGATGGCTTCATGCCAGGTGGCAGATTGTAGTGGCACTCCACCTTGGTGTGGGGTATGTAACTTGAGGCCACATTCAGGAAAAGTACACTGGGGTGCGACTGCGCCTCTTCCATCTCAGTAACTTGGGCTGTAAAGTAAACGTAAGTAGTTGATAGTGCAAACAGCTGAGAAAATCTCCTGGATATTGCAGGTTTGCTGGCACATGATTTGGTGCTGAAGCAGCCAGATGGGCACTTAATGGGCAAACATCTTGTTGTGCAGGTGGATTGTTTTAGATTCTGCCCTTAGATGAGGAATGGCAATGCATATCACTTAACTTAGTTTATGATGTCATCAGGCAGCCCTGCTTTGGTTAATTAATTAGTTCTGCTCTTTCTCTGATGATGGGAAACCTAGATGTCTGCCCCAAAGTATTGCTCTACTGCAGGGGTCCTCAAACTTGTCCACTTTAAGACTTGTGGACTTCAACTCCCAGAATTCCCCAGCCAGCATGGCTGGCTGGGGAATTCTGGGAGTTGAAGTCCACAAATCTTAAAGTGGACAAGTTTGAGGACCCCTGCTCTACTGTCTTCCTTGCAAATGCATCTCAGGACATGACCTGAAATATGAGCAAGGCTAGCTTTACGCACCAATACAGGCCACCACTCAAGGCCCACCATTTTCAGTAGCAGAATGGAGGAAAGCTTTTCTTTCTGCTGAAAACCCTTGACAGCCACTGCTAACTTCAGCAGAAATACAGGATTAAAGGAAAAAGGAATCGGTCTTAAAACAGGAAATTATCATCTACTCAGCAGGGATGAGAACAGGGCATCTATTAGTTATTACCTATACGGTATCTATAGATTTTAAAAAGTATCAAGAAAAAGCTGACATTCATATCATTTCTGATTATTCCTGCAGAATTAATTCCATTTCTGCTGGGCGTAGACTAAGGCTAGGATGGGTATATGTGAATGTGCATACTCTAAAAGTAAACACAGCAGAGTCTACTATATCTGCCCACTTGTCATATGTCTTAGTATTTTCCCTGGCATTATCTTCAAATTTGCAAGCTTTTTTTTTTTTTTTTGCACGCTATTGCTTGCCGATGGGAGACACGAATCAAATTATGTAATTGCATTAACCTGCTTACTGCACATGAATGAGTTTAACTCACATGCTCTGATCCTAAAGTATATGCTTTTTCTGCAAAAACAAGAAGCTTTCAACAATTTTGGGGAGGTTTTTTTGGACAGGAAAGGAAATAGGAATAAGCATTAGGAGTGGCAGCGTACGTACAATGGAACATGGATGGAAGCCAGGAGGAAAGGACAGAGCCAGGATGCCCTTCTTATTCTTCGCAGATTGTATTTCCATCACTGGGATACCTCGGTTAATTATTGATTGTTATAATGATTTATTTATACCACACCGTCAGTTTACACAGTACATTGCAACGTATATATACAGTATGTACATAAAAAAGAAAAATCTTTGTCCCCAAGGCGCGTACAGTCTAGTTAATGATGGAAAGAAGCAGCAGAAGGAGGAAAAAAAGGGTTTTAAAAAATGTCAGCCCACGCAGTTCAGAGCTGTAAGAACAATGGCTTAATTTCAGCAAAGGGAGTGCTGCTGCAGAGTTCAGGGAAAGGTAGCAGGGGAGCCAATGGTTCAGAGGATGGATGTAGAAGAGACGGAAAGAGAGTAATATTGAAAGAGAAAAACTCGGGAACCTTCTTTTTCTTATCTGCATAAAAAGTCTGACCATAGATCCGTCATCATTTTCACTCCCCAAAGCCCTCAGGGACACTTTCACACTGAGCTGTGATCATTCTTATTGCCACAAGACACTGAGAAGCCCCACAGGCAACTAGTGTTCCTTCCCTCCCTCCAAACAGGAGAGCGTTAAAAATGGCAGCAGCAACACACACACACACACCCAAATTTACCGATTTGGTGCTTTAGAACAGGGCTTTTCAACCAGTGGTACGAGTACCACCTGTGGTACATTGGCACCTGGCAGGTGGTACGCGACCATCCTAGAAAAGTGGTAGCGGGGGAGGGGAATGAGCTGAACCGATGGCAGCACCGCACAAGCCTGCGCGAGAGATGGCTGGAGCTACAGGGCTGTCAGGGCTCAGCGGAAGCGCCAGGATCAGCGCCAGGCTCCAGCTGTAGCTCGGCGCTGATCCTGGTGCTTCTGCTGAGCCCAGAAGAAGCGCCGATCAGCTGGAATGTTGCAGCATCTCCAGGGTCTTGTGATTTACATTCAAATGCTTGGCAACTGATTCATATTTATGACGGCCACAGTGTCCCAGGGTCATGTGAAGTGACCAAAACCTGCTACAACCACCCAGCAGACGGGGGGAATAAAAACCAAACACCCCCACCCCACCCCCGCTGCCAATCCTCAACAGAAATGCTCACAACAATGAAAACCTCAGACAGGAGGAAGAGTGCTGGCGGGTGGGCAGGCAGGTGTCTTGCTCGGCTGTGGCTTGGGGGGCACTTTTTTCAGTGCCATTGTAACTTCAAACAGTCACTAAGCGAACTGTTGTAAGTCGAGGACTACCAGTACTTCATCACTTTTTTTCCTTTTTTTGTCATCAAGTTTTTGACCCCTTGCTAGGCGACTGGTGGTACTCGGATATTGCCATATCCTAAAAGTGGTACAATGGGTGAAAAGATTGAAAAGCCCTGCTTTAGAAAAACATCACAGCAATTCATAAAACGGAAGGGCCACCCTAGCAGCATTCTGGTGCTCCACCATTTCACTGATCCATGAACAGGGAAATGGAATTTGGGGACAGCACAAGCATCAGGAGGACCCAGCGATGAGGGGGGGGGGAAATCCTTCCCCTGCCCACCTCTTCTCTCTTCATTTCAGAGGGATAAAACTGGACTCGCAAGTTTTGAGCTGCTCTGCATTTGAGCCAGAAATGAATCACTGAGTTGTTAAATAAGGAGCATCATTGTGGGGGGGTCACAAGGGAACACAGATCCTGGAGTAATGTGTATTTATTTATTTATATTTTATTTCTTTATTCAATTTCTATAGCCGCTCATCTCAATCAATGACTTTGGGCAACTTACCTGCTATGTATGGAAGCAGCTACAGAATCTATAGAGGCAGACTAATCCTATCTGTAGAAGGGCCAGGAAAAAACAAGAAACTGTAAACCAATGGCCAATTATAACTACATTTATACCTCTACGTGGAAAGAGAATGAGAAACCACACCTTTTATTAATCCTTTATCAATCAGTTACTGATATTATTCTTTCTCAAGGATCTCTTTAGTGTGTAGGACTCAAAAACAGTTCATTGCCTGCCCTGGCAATGGCATTTCATGGCTGAACAAAGACTAGAACAGTCAAGGTCTCTCAATGCCTTTCCAATTCTTACTATTTTGCTGCAGTTCACTACAGGCAGTCCTCATTCAGTGGCCACAATTGGGACTTTGTCATTAAGTCAAGTGGTTGTTAAGTGAAACTACAACTGTCCTTACAGACTTACTTCAGCTTTCCTTTGCTTTACAGGCCTCATGAGGATTGGTCACAAAGTTACCTTTTCATTGCCATTGTAACTGTGAGCAGATGCTAAATGAGGCATTCGCTGAACAAGGATGGCAGGTTTAAATATGGGGCTGGAAAACGTCTATGGAGATTCTCAGTCGTCCAGGTCGTGGTTGTCCCAAAGAAGCTTTTTCACGAGGCAACTGGACTTTTTATTTGAAGACATTTCACTTCTTGTCCAAGAAGCTTCTTCAGCTCTGACTGGATGGTGGAGAATGGAAAGATTTATACTCCTTGCAGACAGCTGGTCAATTACATTCTTTTAGAGAGTTGTTGAGACCACCGGGAGGTTTATCTGTGTCCTCAGGGTCAGCTGAGTAACAAATGGGTGTGGAGCCTTCTGGGAACTGCTGAAAGGACTGTGTTGTAGACTGGAGATAGGTGATGTCGTATCCATCCCCTTCTGTTGAGAGAGGGCTGTTTAATTTTGACATAGGTGGCCTCTTTGACCCCTCTCTCAATCCCAGCGGCCCTCTCTGTCCAAAATGTGGACTTTGCTGTCTTCCAAAAGTGGACTTTGTCTTTTAAATGCAGATGGACTGTTGAATCTTGTCCTGACGGGTTTGTCCTCCTATGTTGTGCCGTGCGTTTATGAAGTGGTTGTTTTAGTTTCCCCAATGTACAGATCTGCACATGGCTCACTGCATTGTACTGCATATACCACGTTGCTCAGCTGGGACTGAGTAGGAAAAACCTCATGCAGTGGAGTTTGTGTTTTCTTATAGCTTGCTTAATTGGTGCCAATAACAAATACAGATGAAATGTTGGACTTTTTACATTATGTAACTGGCTCCCTCCTCCAAATCCTACATACAGCTGCTCATTTTTCACTCACTAAGCCTGGGCGTAGAAGGCAATGATGCTGTTATGACAGGTCTCCCCAGCCTGGAAACCCAACCAATGTGTGGACTGGTTGCTCCGCATCATGGATAGTGAATTTGGGGAACTAAAGAAGTGCTCCAATTTGGGGAGTACTTAGGTTGAGAAAGGCTGTGCTATGGGATTTCATTGCAGAGGAGGAAGGGGGAAAAAATAAGTCAGATTAGAACAGCCTCCATTTAACTTGGGGCCTTCTGGATATGTAGGATTACAATTCTCATCTAGCACAGCCAGCATGGCCAAAGAGCAGGGGTGATGAAAAAAAGCTGCAATGCGATAACATCCAAAGGGCTACAATAGTTCTTTATCTTTGTTCTATTGCCTCAGCTTATACATGCAAAAGTTTTTAAATTTCTTTTCAAAACTATTCTCTAAGGATCCAGCATTTTTCAATCTGGGTTTCTTTTTTATTTTTTGTGTTTGTGTGCATATGTTAGAGGTTCATTGGGCTGTTCAGGAAAATGAACACATCTCAAAAAGGCTGCTTACTGCTGCTTTTGTGCAACATCTGCTTCAAAAGGAGGGATAGCGAGACCCAATAGTCCACCCAGCAACTACCATGATCTAGGTGGGAAATCAGAGCACAGGTCTGAATCCTAAGGTGACCAACTTTTTTACAATGAGAAGGAGGACACAAATAAATTTAAGAAAAAAAAGTGAGTCTAATGCGTGCGTGTGTGC